TTTTCTTCTTTTTCTTTTTTTTTTTCTCCTTCTGTTTCCCGTCTAAGTTTCTTTCATCAGCAATTTATCATTGAATTGTCCTTCTTCTTCTTTCTGTAATCTTTCAATTTTGTCATTTTATTTTTACTGATCTTTATTGTTCGCTGACCTAATATGACATCATAGTTGGTACTTGACAGGTGACCTGATATATTGCACAGAAAAAAACTTTGTTTTGATTTTACATTCTTTCTTTTTTTGCGGTTTATAATTTGTAACTTTTTTCCTGTCAAATACGTGTGACTTCTTCTTCTTGACTTGCAAAAAATAAAAAAAAGCTTTCTTAGAGAATCTTTTCATGTGCATATACAGCTGAACATATGCATTTCTCTCTAAAGTGAGACTTCTAATTTCCTCCTGTTTTACTTTTCCTATTTTTGGTTGATTTCATTTTACATTCTTTCTATTACAATAGTTATTTATTCATTTATTTTCTTACAGAAAGTTGTTCCAGTCAAAATTTTTACTGTGTTTACAGTTGTGTACAAGTTAGTTGGAACAAAAAAAAAAAAGAAAAAAAAAATTAATGGTAAGTTAAAGTTTTTTGAGTTTTTCATCTGATACTAATTGTTATATTTTGCCAGCAACTTATTACTGGTAAATTTTGTTGTTGGTTTGTTTAAGGAAACTATGAAAACATATTAATTATTGTCGATACTGTTGTTATTGTTTAATAGAAAGTGCAAGTTACTTCTGTTTCACTTACATTTCTTAAGTTTATCATTATAAGAAAATGAAGAAGCCAAAGGGTAAGTAGATGGTGACCTTAATTACAGATTAAACCAATTAGATAACCACCATCTGATTGTACAAAAAAAAGAAAAAAATTTTTTTTTTGTTTGACGAACATAATTTAATGCTTCCAACAATGTAACTACCATTTTCAATAATTCTCCTTGCTGAACAAAGAGGGCGGGGACAAAAGTTGAGAATTCAGAGTCATACGTCTTCGGCATTCTTTTAAAAGTACTTTAAAAGTGAAAATTAACTTTTGAAATTAATTCATTTGGAAATATTCCGTTACTGCTGACCACATTCAAAGCAATGACATTGCTGGTGTTCTATTTTAAGTATAGTAAGGAAAAGCTAAAAAATGTTTTATGCTAATCAGGTATCAGTTGTTTTTTTCCAACTTAACGGTACTCACGTAAACATTGAAGAAAGTTGTTGCTGTATTATAAACACTTTCCCAATCATTTAATTGCTTCTGTTACTTAGTTTTTCTGTTTGCTTTGTTCGTCGTTATTATTTATTACCTACTTATCATTGTTGTCAAAAAATAAAACTAAAAAAAAAACTAAAAAGCAGAAAACCTTGGCTTTCTGTTTCGTACAGAAAAGTTTACTTTTTTTTTCCTTTTGTTTCGACTTGTAACGCTAATGAAATTGTTTTGTCTTCTTCGGATACGCGTATTAAATATATACGTATCAGCATTTATATCTTTAAGCTTTGATAAAAATTTTCTGTTACACTGATGGGTTGATTAAATCTGCAGTTGTTGACATGGGAGGGGCATTTAGTAAGAGGAGAGGGAACTTGATTAGCTGTTAATTATTTTCGACTTTTGAACAGTAAAAAAACATTAAAATAACTTTTTTTTTTTTTTAAATTTTGAAGATTTTTTTTTTCAGTATCTCAAAGATTTAGAGAAAGTATAGATTATTATAGTTGCTGTAGTATCGCTCTGAGGTTTCAGTTAGTGCTCCTAATTCATAAATGTTTTTTTATGTACCTGCTGCGAGATTTTCCACTTGTACTCGTTGAACCTGTACGTGACGGTAAGCAGTTCAGTGTGAATTTTTGTTCTTGTACCTTTATAGTTATACAAAAAGTGAATTTAGAAAAGAAGAGGATGGGAAAACGATGACGCAGTGATCTAAGAATGTTACTGAAATTAATGTTACGTATCCGTTAACTAAAGCCTCTCAACAGTAGAAAACGATAGAAAAAGCTAAACAGTTTTTCATCTTACTAAATAGACAGTTATCACAGCGGAACAGACATACGCATAAGATAGATTTGTATTATTGCATTAAAGAAAATAAAATTCAATAAGATATAGTTAACAAGCACAGGTGATGAGGATTGTCAAAGTTCAAAAAAGTTTACAGTTTTTCAAATATTTTTTTAAAAACCTGTCTATGCGCATTTTTTTTTTTAATTTTAACTTAATTAAAAAAACATTTCAAAAAAATTGCATTTATTCGAATTAAACTAATCTTCCCTTTCTCAGTCTTTGGTGAAAAAAATTCAAGAAGAACTTCTTGTTCTTTTTTGTCACTGTTTTCAGCAACAGCTACGTCAAGATTTCAATTCTACCTAGATAAAGTTTTGAACTAACATAAGATTTTAAAAAGCAAATAATAGATTTACGAAAAATATTCTTAACAGTAATACAACAAAAATTTTGCTGAATCTTGTATCAGAACTACAATGCCAAAAAGGTCGAAATCATAGTATAATGTTGACTTTTCGGAAAACGAATTGACTGAGCAGAAATGGCGTACCCCTTATGTAGACACACTGTTTTTTAGATTCCATCTGTTGCGAGTTGGTAAGAAAAGTAATCATAATGCTGATATCTTCAAACATTTGAAAGCTGTAGTTTTGTACTTCCCTTCATTTTGAAAACTGGAATAAAAAAGTGGTTTAAATAAACGGATCAAAATTCTATCCGATACAAAACTAGCGATTAATGTAAGAGCCTTTGGTTCTTTGCCAGAACTTGGCCGAAAGGCAAGGGGATTGGTACCGCAATCTGTGAAGCAATTTTTCACGTTCTCTTTAAAAAGGGTTTTATACGACCAAGGAACTATATAAAGGAGGCCAGTTCAGGCTTAAGCTCTTCCTTTAGCTGGAGCTAACTTAGAATTCAGAGGCTAGCGCTGCACACCTGCTTCGGTAACTGTAACATCGCTTATTTTTTGGAATGTTCCTCAAAATAGGAGGTTGGCAGTATATCACATTGGTTGAAAGCTGTAAAAATTATTAAATTGTATGAGCATTTCGTAAGAATAACTTAGGTTTCAGAATGACGTGCAGAGAACCTGTTCTAATTAGCCGATACTTTAAACTCAAAATAAGTTTTTATTTAGTTTATGAAATACTGTGTTACTACCTCCTCAAACGTTGTTTTTGGAATGTTGAAGAGGGCTACATTTTGGTAATCAGTAGGTGATTTTCTTAATGGTAAATAGTTTTTTAACTAGTTGTTATCTACTGTATCTGGTAGTTGGTGAGTTTCTACTCTACCTGTAGTGTTAAAGTTGTTATGACGAACTCTCAGCAATGAACTTGGTGACCGACTATTAGTGAGTAGTAATGATTTAAACAGCTAATGCTCAAACTTGAAAACGAAAGGAAGTGAGTAGATGGAAGAAAAACCAGCGACATTGAAATTTATTCCCTTTTTTCAACATTTTTTCAATGAAATTTCAGAGTGTGTTATGCGACTTTTAATCAGTTTAAAATTCATTTTCTTACTTCAGGCTTGCAAAATATTGTTTTTCACTTATAGTTTACCTACCTTTTCCACTTTTTCGCTGACTTTCGAACAATTTTAGACAGTTTTTACGACCTCAGATGTCAGAGTTTTGTTTTAGTTTATGTGGGTTTATATGTTTCAAATATAAATTTTATTGCGATAAGAAGTATATAAAAGTTACAAATTTTTCTACTATTATATTTTCATAAAAAGTGTTTCTATTCGTTTTCTTATTCGTCTTAAAATGGTGCTGTTCTCTTGCGTTCGTATCTATTTATAATATGAAAAATTGAACTTTTAAAAACAGTTTTTTTATATTTCCTTTGATTGCTGTCACATTCAATTTTGGCAGAGCTTTCCCCTTCTCGACATCAGTGACCGTTTATCTCAACTGTTTAAGAACTAGACGTAACTTCAAATTTTGAGACGTTTTATTTGTAATTTGTATTTGCTTTAAAAAACGTTTGTAATTTTACTTTATCCTGTTGCTGCGGCTATATTCTTTCCCTAATGGTAGAAACGCTTAAAATCTAAAATCAAATTTTTTAAAAGTTTTTGTAGTTATAAAGGTGGGCACTGAGAAGGCAGTCATCGGTCAAGAAGTTCAGCAGTGAACAGATTTTTAACAGCTACTTTTTGAACCTCATCCAAGACCTGACTGCCATTTTATTGTTGCTTTTTATCTGTTCAACCTGACTAAAAGCCTCCTGTATTTTTTACAAGTTTATAAGGCAGATTTTTCCTGAACAATGTCTTTATATTTCATTGTTTTATTGTTTTTAATTCCCTGAGATAAAATTTTTCCAATTCTTTGTCTTAGAATTATATCGAGAAGAACTGCTTTGTATTAGCAGAAGACTTGTAATGATTGTTTTATAATAAACAAACTTATATTTTTGTTGATAGCTTATTCGCAAGAGATGGTAATGAGAAGTTATTTATAGAGAGCTTTTTGTTCCTCCCCAAATTAACATCTCTGTTGTTGACAGTGATTAGTTGCGAAGAAGTTTGAGAAGCAGAACAGAAGGCATAAATAAATGAAGTTTTCGCTGGTTTGTAGAGGTTTAACTTACCCATTTCTTTTCTTGCTTTTTTATACGGTTTATTGCGGTTATTTTAAAAAGAGTTTTAAAAGTCTCTTTAGAACCTGGTTTTTTTCCTGCTAGAATCTTCATAATTTTTTTTATTTCATATTTTTTTGAACTTTTTTGATGTGACTAGCATTGACTGGAAAAGGAAGGTTCTTTAATAAGTCGGAAAAAATATTTTTCAAATTTTACTCTATTGACTGTTGAATACAAGTCTCATAAAAGTCAACAAATGAAGGGTTTTCTGCGGTCAACAGTTCCTTGTTAGCGTTTTCTGAGCTAAAGTTGAAAATTTTTGCTTTAGTAATAGCTGTCATTCAGAATTACTGAAATTTAATGGATTAAAATTAAAATTTTTTGTTTATTTAGTTTTCTGCGAGATCAAAATTATGGAAATTTCAGCTGCTGCTCATTACCGGATCTTGGTCATTGGTGGTGGAGCTGGTGGCTGTGCAGCCTCGCATCGATTCCGAAAATTAGCACCCCGAAAGCAACTTGCTGTCATCGAACCGAACGAGGTTTGGCAATTGTTATTCATCACTATTGAATAGTGTTAAAGAAATGAATTATGTTTATGGAATTTACTGTAAGCAATGACTATAAAATGTTAAAGAAAAGATTCAAAAACAGCTGAAATTGTGTAAAAAATTCTGATCGTTCTTATGTAAAGTTAATTTATAGTTATCTTAGCTTCATTACTATCAACCAGGATTCACACTAGTTGGAGCCGGTTTTAAAAAATTGAGTCAGTGTCGAAAACTGACCAGCGAAGTTCTGAATCCGGAAAATGTTTGGTTGAGAAATTTGGCTGTTGAAATCAATCCTAAAGACAACTCGGTCACTTTAAAGTTGGTTTTATTGCTGATACGACCTCATATGACCAAAATAGGCTCTATTTAGCAAATAGCCTGTTTTTGGAAATCATTAGATCGACTGTAACTTAATAAAGGTATCTAAATAATGTTGTTGACGGTGATGTATTTAGTGATGGCTCTGAGATAAAGTATGACGTTCTCATTGTGGCACCTGGTTTACAACTGCGATATGAACTGGTATAGTTCTTCTATGTTTTTATATTTTTTTCACAACTTCTCAATTTCTGGCATCTTCCAAGATTTCTATTTTTTTTCACCTCATTGGGGAAAAATGTTTATAGATTGATGGACTTCCTGAAGCACTGTCTTCGCCGGGCGTGATAAGTGTCTATACAGCAGCAACAGCTCCAAAAGCTCATTCTACAATTCAGAATTTTAAAGGTGGAAACGCTGTCTTTACTTTACCAAATACACCTGTGAAATGTGCTGGAGCTGGACAAAAGATATGTTACGTTGCAGATGAAATTTTCACTAAGGTTAACTTTCTTGAATTTTATTATTTGATTTCAATAATTTTTTATAAAATTTGATTGTAAAATTTATTCATATTGTCATTTTTGTTGATTATTTGACAAGTATTACAGAACGGTATTAGGGATAAATGCCATTTGACATATAATACAAATCTAAACGATTCGTTTGACGTACCGGAGTATGCGGCAGCACTGAACAAGATTATTGCAGCCAAGAAAGTACAGTTGAATACCAGACGAAACTTGATAAAAGTAGATCCAATTAAAAAGGAAGCAACATTCGAATTGTTAAACGAAAAGGCAGTACCGAATGGTAAAACAGAGGTGCAAAAGGTGATTTTTTTACATAATCGAAAACTTTTTTTATCTGCGCTTCGCTATACTTTTGTTTACTTCTAATCAGTATCGTTTTATGGAAACTTTTTAATATTAAACAATGAATATCGTTAGTGGAAAAATTTAAGGGTGTAACTTTTTCTTCTCTAATTACAGCTTGATTTATTAGTTTTACATTCAGCAGTGTTGCCAGTGTCATGATTATTTTTGGAAACCTATCGTAGTCGCTTTTGCTTTATCCAGTAATGGTAATACTAGTTTAGGGTTTTAAAAGATAAATAGCCTTTAAGATTTTAGTATGACCTGCTTCATGTCGTTCCGCCCTGTTCATCTATTGAAGTGTTACGGAAGTGTAAAGCTCTCACAAACGCAGGCGGTTGGTTGGATGTTAATGCCGAAACTCTTCAGTCCACGAAATTTGACAACGTTTTTGGCATCGGCGATTGCCTTGGTACACCGAATAAAAAAACTGCTGCTGCAGTGTGTAAGTGAAAGCTTCAAAGTATTAATCGTTTTTGACTATTGGAATACAAGTGTGCAACCTCAGTATCTTACCTGTAAACTGAAAAAAAGTAGCTGATAAAACACAGCTATGAAGTCACAGTTTAGAATATCAAAAAAATTTTTCTTTTTGTTTTTTACAGAAATTTTTTGTATAAAAAAAAAGACACTTTGAAGTGTTTAAAAAAAATCGTTATCACATTGAAATATGAACTTATTTGTTGTTTCATTTTATTTGGTTGGACATGATGGCTAAACAAATCGTAATTAAAGTACTGTCAGTTATGATTATAATTGTGATTTATGAACAAATAACAATTTTTGCCGTTTTTAGACAGCCAGTTAAGAACATTAGACAGAAATGTTAAGGCGTTTATGAATGGTAAACAACTTGATGGAAAGGTGAGAATTTTTCTTTTGTCAAACTTTAACATCTTTTTTTTTCGGTTTATGAAGCTGCTTTATTTGATGAGTATTTTCCACAATTGGAATAAGATAAGTTTTCAGTATAATGGCTATTCGTCCTGTCCATTTCTGGTTAGTAGAAGAAGCGTTGTGTTTGCCGAATTCACTCCTGAAGGACCATATGAAACATTTCCATTTAACCAGGCTAAGCCAATGTATATTTCGTACCTGATGAAGAGACATATATTACCATTTATCTACTGGAATTTCGGACTCAATGGGCATTGGCTAGGGCCTGCTAAAGTCAGGAAATTGCTTCATCTAGGCTTAGTATAGTCGATAATTAGAGCTGTACAAGATATATATATATAGGTTTGTAATAACCTACAATAGTGGCGTTCCTGAATGAATTGTTCAATGCATTAGCATTCCAAAATTAGGTTTCCAAAAATCTTTTTTCTATCATTTCACAAAATTTTTCATTTTCGTTTTTGCTTTCAATTTTTTTTTTTTCGTTTGAGCATACACAGTTTTCCTCTTTATTTCGCGAATTTCTCGTTAGTAGCGATGAACTTTTTCTATCTTTTTTTTTCTTTTCAGGTGGTGTTAAATATGACTAAACTTGTTTCGGCAATTTCTTATTAGTCAGACTGTACATTACCTGTCTGCAAACACTTTTTAAAAATCATAATAGAAATTCTTTCTTTTCTTCAGCTATTGTGCTCTTCTTGTTATTTTTGAGAACGATTTACACGGTCTTTCACTTCAAAGAATCTTTTATCAAAGTATGAAGTTGCAGTTGTAAGTTCTTTTAAATTTACAAATTTTTCTAAGTCAGCAGCAAAAATTGCTTTTTTTTTTGTCCTGGCAAGTGCTGATTTAATAATAGTACTAATCTTCGGCATTGGTAATTTTATTGTAATTTTCTCTTTACGGTTTTGGTTTGATATCTAGTGGAGATTGGCGCCAGATTTAAAAAAGTATAAAAAATTAGAAATTGTCTTATCTGCCACATTGTACCTTGTCGAGGCATAAAAATTTCATGTTTGGAACCGTTAAAGCTTCTTTTAAATTTCCTAACCTTGTTGTTTGTGCATAAAAATCAGTTATCTTTTAAATCATTTAAAAGTTGTGTAAGTAAAGTTGTGTCTTCTTTAGTTTAAAATTGAAATAGCAGTTGCAGTTTAATCTTAAAGAATTAACTAACGTGCAGAGTCTTTTGAAATACATTATAATTATCAGCTTCGGGCAGCTAAATTACGGTTACTGTGCTTGCTGAAATATCTTCATCCTGGAACATCTTCGTTTATGCAGAGCAGATAGTTGTGTTTAGAACTGTCACTTTTTAAAGAAAGTCATTTTCTGTTGAGCGTTTTTAAAGTTTATTTTTTTCTCTATTTGACTTTTATACAAGAAATACGCAAAAAATTTTTAACTGTGCTGCTGTCTCATGAAACAAGCTTTTGTTTAAACTTAAAATTAACCATTTTTATGTATAGCACAGTGAGTTTGGGGGAGGGTCACAGCGTCATCATATGTCATTCTTTAGTTCTCATTTATTCTTATAACGTATTCAGCTGTTGTGGATGTAACAATATCGTTTTATTGGTTTATCAGGCTGCGATAGAAAACCGGCATTCTGTTGGGTTTACAGAACATTAATGCATAAGGAATGTTCTATTGAAGCTTAGTAGCTTAAAAAATGTTTCAAAGGAAAAAAACAATAAGTATACCTCTCGGAAGGCAAAGGTTTGTTTTTCTGGTTAAATGAGTGCTAACTAATGGTCCAGCTTTGTTTTTAGCCATTACAGTCGGTAAAACAGTTATTATGACAGTGTTTGTACTGTGCTATCAGACCGTCGTTAATGATATTGGTCGGCAGTTATGCCATTGCATGATGGAAAAGCACGCTTTATGAGACTGAGAATCAAAGTGTTTACGTCAGGCTGAGATAAGGGATAAATGATTTTCATTAAAATTCACTAAACAACTTGCTAAAATTTAGCCCTTATTATCAGTGAAATTTTTATAGAAAAAAAAGGTACAGCATGGTGTGACAAAGTAGCTTGAAGAATGGTTGGGTAATTTCTTCTTTATCTTTTTCTTCTCTCTCTTTTTTAATACTTTTTTTTTGAAGGTAGTCGCGTAAGACTACCACTACCTTATTTTGACAATTTTAAAACATTTGGAGATAATGCTTCAGCACATTTTTGTTTTTAATTTTTTTCAAATTTTTCTCTGTTGGGGGGTGAATTAATTACTATTTGATGCAGTCTGACTGTAAATGGTTCACGACAGCATCTGAGAACCATAGCAAAAAATTTTATCATAATGGCTAAATCGCTGTATTTCTAAAACTTCTAAAATAATTTTGCGTTAACATTTGATTGAGTCTTGTATTTGGTCGGCAACATAGTAGGCAGCCCTCACCAACGACTAATTGCTTTTGCCAGGTTATATCGTCGACCTAATAGAACGTCTATTATTTCATAATTTTGGGCATTTCCATTTGATTTCTAAACACCAGTTTGAAAAGAGCTGCGGAAAAGTTTAAAAAATCCAGTTTTTTTTCACTTTTCCGCTGAAGTTTGAGAGCAGAATGCAACTGATAAAGCTCAAGCATTTCCTCTTAGCCAGCTCTTAATAGTAGCATTTCCAGTCTTGAAGCTGGACAATAACATTACTTTTAATGATATAGCTAACTTTCTCGAAGTAATCACATTTTGCAGGATTTTGAAGCATTTTAAATCAGCAGTTTTTGAAAAAACTTTTGAATAAAATGTCTGAAGAAGGCTGCCACGTAGAAGACTAATTTGAAATTTTGGAATGTCAGCTATTTAAATTTGATAGAGAAAACCTATGAAAGCTTACCTTCAATTAAGTGGTTCTGTTTGGAGCGCTTGCACTGATCCTAATGGGCAGTGTTTGCAACGTCTCACAGTCGTACTGTTAATGAAGAAGTTTCTTCCTAGAGAAGTTTTTCAAAAACAGTTTCTGCTAAATCGGCTTATTGACTCATGAGTACGCTAAATGATTCAAAAAAACGGTAATCAGCTACGGAAGGACTAAGAAGCCAAGTGATTAAGAAAAAAAAATTTGTGCTAGCAGCTGACCTAAGTTTTCCTATGGCATGCAACGAAGTTACTCTATTGTAAATTACATTTGTACGATAGGCATAAACTTGAAGCAATTGAGAAGGTGCTGTATCAAATGATCACTTTTCTTTCAGAACACTAGACACATTAACTCAATTTGCACGTTTTCAGACATCGGTCAAAATTGACTTTAGAAGATTTTTTCAGGTCACGGCTTAAAATCTTATTCAATTAATGCCCTTTAATATTCATTTTGCATTCTCAATTAGAGGTAGCTTAAAACTTTAACTCTGAATGTGTTATTCTAATAATAAAGCAAGAAAGATTGTAAATTGAATTCAGTTGACACCAACGGACTACAGTTGCAATCTAATGAATGATTGGCAACTTAAAGAATTGAGGCATTCGGGATATTAAATGCATTTATTTTTATTGTTAAAAAACTGTAAAATTGACTTAAGTCCAATTGACAGTGACACTTAATTACAAAATACTTAGAAATGGCAGTTGGAAGTAAGGTGCAAAAGTTATCGAAACTGTTAAAAGTGATCTATTTTAGTGTTATCAAAAAAAAAAAGAAGACAAATGAGGCTTTTAAAAACTATTGAGTTTTTTTTGCCAAAAAAAAATTTTCTGTCAATAACAATAGTTGTATGTTTATTGCATTATCAGCTTCAACATTCTTGTTTGCAGTAATATTTCTCAAAAACTGATTATAGAAACTCATCAAGTGTAAAGTTATTACATGATCTACGGTAAACTTTTACACTTCTTGCTTTCTGAAGGTAAATTTTCTGAATTTGTTATAGTAAAACAATTTATTTCCTTATTTCTTTTTTTTTTTTTATGATACATCGTTGTAAATTTAGGAAGAAATAATTTTTTTGTAGGTTTAATGTCAATTATATATGCTTGTAGTGTGGGCTCACCGTGAACGAAGGTTTTGGTGTAATAAATTTCGTGCTAAAATCATAGAACACTAAAATTTTTTCTAAAATGCTTCATTAGCACCAAGAAAAAAATCAGTTACTGTTTTACAAATTTTAACAAACTTTTCTTTTACTTTAATCTATAAACCGTATGAAATAATTACCACACAGAATTTCGTTGACTATAATCTAGTGAAACTGCCAGAAATTGAATAATAACAATCTTTGAGGCATTGCGCAAGTGCATTTGTAATAAATGCTTGATATTCCTCTAAATCAATGTATCTTTGACCGACAAAATGGCCGAAAAAAAAAACAACTCTAATTATTTCGAGAATTCGCTGCTTGAAAAGCAGTAGTGGTCTTTGTGTTCCCGTAATTGTAGACAATAAAAAGTCGGAAACAATGTTTTTTAAACAACAATTAAAAATTTCTTCAAACATTATTCTATTTATTGGTCGTCGGTTTAAAAAGTTGTCACAAGTCATAAGATGGCTGAACTTTGCATCTGTTTCTTCATTATGCATACTCAATGTTTCCACTAGTTGGCGATCATTAATGGTGACCTGAATCTGGGAAAAAATTTAGCATTTCATTTGTTGGTAACATCAAAGGCAAAAAATTGAAAACAGAATGTTCAAGTGCCTGTTTTGCTGTTGAGAGAAGCAGAAAATTTTTCAAAAATTAGCGTCACTTTTAACGATTTGTGCTTTTCCATCAGAACCTTTGGCACCTTTGTGAACAAAGCAAATTTATATTAATAATAAATGAATATTTTTACAATTTTATATTCATACAATCAACAATTATATCACAAATAAATAAACAGCTCATTATTTATCACTACTGATTCACGACTCCAGCAAGACACTTCTTTTAACAATTTATTTACTATCTTTCTCCTCTCTCTTTTACCATTTTTTAGATATTCAAAAAAAGCGCCGAACTTTAAACTTAATAATTAGAAATTATGCATAATTTTACTCTTCCACCTATCTTTCACCGATCGTCAAAGATGACAAAGGTCAGTGAACACCATCCATAAGAAGTGTCTTTTCTGGTTTTAGAAAGTCATCAACAGTATAAAGCAACAAGGAGATCATTTGATTATTTGGTGATTTTTTCACCATACGAGTCTATCAGTGTTATTCGACCTATTAATTAAGTTGAAAAAGGTACAGAAATAATAAGCTCCTTTTTTACAACAAATCTATACAGTTCATAGAACAAAAATTTTTGTAAACGCTGGTATCGGCTGCTAAAAACAATAGAAACCCGCACTGAGTTTCGAAAAAATTCTGTTTTTTGATTCCCTTAATTAAAGTTTTACAGCTGCAAATGTTTTACAGATTGTCTGGCGCTTCTTTTTTTGTTTTCGCTGAGACACCTCATCAAAAATAAAAAACAAAAAAAAGACCTCGTAATGAACAAAACATAAACCAATATGTTGTTGGCTGAAAAAAACTGAGAGATGAAAGCTGACAAAAAATTTGATAGAACAAGCTACAATATAAATTAAATAAAAATCAAAATCCTAGAAAATTTAATCGAATATTAACATAGATTAGTGCCACAAAGATAGCACAAAGCAGAAGCCGTCTATTGATATAAAGAAAAGAAAAAAAAGGCAATTCGCCACCATAGTACAAATGTAAAATAAACGAACATCTGTAGTACTGACATTTGCCATTAAATTGCACCATCGTTAATTTCTCTTTCACTTCTATTATTATTGTTACTTCTGTAAAAAAACGACAGAGTAGGGGTTATCAAACAATACAACAAATTGCTTTGATGATGTAGCTGTTCTTCTTGAGCAATTTAACCAAATCCGAGCAATAAAAAGCTGTTTTTTTAGAGTTTTTTACTGTCGTGCTTTGTTGCCAAACTAAAAAGGAGGAAGGCCATAAATTGTCTAATAGTTGGTTAGGTTTGGTGGAGGTGGCGGTGGAGGAATTTTTGCGGAAATTGAAGCGCTTATTGAATCGTCAGGACTAGACGTTAACGGTTCAATAACAGAACTTGGTGATCTGCTGAGGTGCTGAGAAAGTGTTAAAGCGGTTCGTGAATGTGATCGATGAGCATCGATGTAGCTGATCTAAAATATTCTAACTTGGTTAGTACCCTATATACAATGACAAATAACAGCTGACGTTAACAATTCAGTGTATTTATAGCATCTTTATTATTTTAATCACCTAACAATTTTCGCACCTATCGGAATCTAACATGAACTTGATGTTGATGCTAAAGTGTCCAAGTTCTTAAAATATAGGAAAATTTGATATTTTTCCCAAAAATTATCTTTAAGTTTACTCGTTTTTGTCTTTTTATTTTCTTCGTTGTCTTTTTTCTTTTTCTGTCAGCTCAAAAATTGTTACAAAAAAATGAATAAATAAATGGAAAACTTTTACCTTTAATCTGTTTTAGCGATCAGTACCGATCAAATTGCAATTTTTTTTGAAATTAAGAGTTTTTATTGTAAAGTTGACTTTTTTTGCTTTTTTTTTTTTTTCAAATAAAAATTGTTTAAACAAAATCAGATAAAGTTTATATGTTCATTGGCTGTTTACATTTACTCCTTAACTTTTGAAAAGACTATTTAAAGAAACTGTATAAGGCGTAAAATTTTTTTTTCTGGCACTAAGAAACCATTGCTAAGATAATGGTGAGGATGAAAGGTCGGCTTGAAGACCATTTCAGATGATCAGTACTAGAGATTGAAAAAGATATTTACTTCAATGGTAAATTTTGCAGAAGAAAATGGTTGATTATCAGAAGAAGTTCTACAAGCAATAATTTTGCAGGTATTTGTCTGTAAAAAGAAAAAAAAAACGAAACGTCAAGCAGATGACTAACCTTTTGACGCCGTTCTCGACGATAGTAAGCAAAAAGAATGATCACCGAGACGAACATTGAGATTGCCAACAGTAATGCTAATAGAACACCGAGTTCGGTTGCTTGCGTAAAACCGTACCGAGCACCAAACAGTACCGCACAATCAGTAATCTGATTCAAATCCACAATCATTACACCTTTTAAAGCTTCTGGAGTGGCACAGCGAGTTTTGTCGTAGCCCAGTTCTATCGTGTAGCGATGCCGTTCATTCATGTGCTGTTTAAGTAAATCGATGTTACATCCACAGTTCCATGGATTATCATACAAATACACCTAAAAACAGAAAAGTTGTTGTAAAAAAAAATTTTTTTTTCAACTATACTGCACTGATGCTGCTGACTTAATAAAAGCAAAATATTCTTCATTGATTTCTTTGTTTTACCAAATCAACGACTGTGGTTAATTAGTGGCTTTTTTTTGTTGCACCCTACACTTTTTCTTTGTCCTTCCAAAAAAAAAAAAAAAAGAATTAAATCCTTAATGCTGTTGACCAATAGATAGTTTTCAATATTGTTTCCACCTGCTAATATTGAATTGTTAGAATTATCTATTTTATTTTCTTTTTCTATTATATTTTCACTTGACAAACGTCAACAGTTTTGCTCCAGTGCCTGTAAGTTTTTAAGATAAGCAGAAAAAACAGTTCTAAAAAAGTATTTTTTTTTTGTTCCTAAAAAATCTGTAACAGAATGTAACGTTTAAAATATCTTTTTAATGTGATAACTTAGTTGATAAAAAAAGAGCAAAAATAATTTAATTCAGCTTATTTTTGATAATAATCAAAAAAATTTTTTTTATTACTGTCGTTCTTTTATTTAATTAAAATTAATACTGCATTTTCACCTGTTAAGTAACGTTGATAGAACAGAAGGTTTAGAAAACTGTATCTGAATTATCCAGGCAATAAAATTCTTTTTTGTTACTTCGTTTTTGTGGCAAAACAATGTAAAAAAAGTGTGAACGTATAATAATGTGTTAAAAACTACTTTTGATTAAATTTTTTAGAAATTGTTTTAGCATAAAACCAAATGATCTGATATCAAATGAGTTCTGGTAGAAAATGGAAAGATGAAGTCAAGATATTCACGAATCCCTAAAGCATATATAAGAGAAGAAGGAATCTATATTTATGCTAAATTTCTGCAGATGAGCTTCTAAACGGCCTTCTGTGATTTCAAAGTGGGAAAAGCAAACAGAGGAGAGAAGAGATTCATGATAAAAGGTATATACCTAACGACCGTAGTTCAAAGAAATCAGCAATAACCTTAAAATAGGAAAGTTAGCGGAAATAAAATAAAAAAATTAAATAAATTGGTGGGAAAAAAAGGTTAGCAGGATGGTAAGAAGAGCCTTCGATTTGCCGATAGATCCTCTTAAGCACACCTGCAGAACCATATTAAACAGAAATGTTGCTGTTGCTGTTGAAGCAGCGGCAGCAGTGCCAGCAGAAACAGAATATCAAAGGTAACAGCAAACCATGGCAATAAGCATCTGCCCATTTCCCCTTTCTTAATGTTTAATTATGATTTGATAATTATTACAGCAATATTTAGACAAAA